ACATTTCATTTGTGTACTGAATTTTATTACATTTCATTTGTGAACTGAACTTTATTATATTCATTTGTGAACTGAACTACATTTTTTTTGTAAATAAATTTGAATTATGAAAAAAATTAAATGAGCAATAACACCATAATGGTTTTATTTCATTCCTTACATGGAAATAAAGTCATATGGCCTTATTTCTCAATGAAATGAGAAATATAACCATATGGCTTTATTACCTATGGCTTTATAACACGGCGCCATTTCAAGTGCTTTTCCAAATTATGCGTATACTTAATATTTATAATATCAATAAATCATTAACACGTATACATACAGGTGTCGTTAATAAAAGCAGTGCAATTTCACAATATAAAACTTTTCACTTGAGATGAAAACATGAACATGAAGTGTTTTTGATTTCATATGTTCACAATTTTTGTTCTTTATGACAAGAGCTACAACTTTGCCTCAGAGAATAAAACAAAATTCTGAACGGTTTGCAAGATATGAACCTGAAAAAATTATCACTTTTTTGCAAAAATGACGCCGAGGTCCCAAATTTTTGGGGTCCCATACAAAAAGTACATGACTTTGGGCAAAACTGGTACACATGGGTCTTTTTTGGTCTTTTATCACGTTTGTTTATAGTATATTGCTAAATTTCCATGATTTAAAAATTACACACACTACAAACTCTACACCACTTTTATGGGGATGTTATACTGAGTTTACGCTGGTGTTTGTAACGCACAAAAATGTTGGTCTATACCCACCTTAAAATATACCAATCGGCTTCATTTTCTTAATTTTCCTAATCGATTAAGCTATGTCCGTCCGTCCGGCTGGTCGGATGTCCATGATAATTTTGTGGTTAAACTCAATCCATTATTTTACCTAGCCTTCATAAAACTGAGCCTCCGGAAAAGGGCTTTGGAGCTAATAATTATGTTATATATACCGATAAAAAGCAGCACAGTTAAGCTTTATACATACCTTGATGACATATTAATTCGTTAAAAATAGCCCAAAGACATTACTAGACTACTTAAATGTAATCCAGTTGGTATGAAGTAGACATTGAAATATATGTTGTTAAGTTAGTATGTCATTAAAAAGTTTTCTCTACAAAATTATTCATATTCAATATAGCAACTAATTCATTATTATAAATTCAAAATATGTACCTTTCGGGCAAAATCATCAAAATTGAAAAACTTTTTCCATATACCATTGAAAATAAAAGTCACAAATAAATATTTGATTTAGAACGAAATAATTTTTTTTTTTTTATATTTTTGTTCATTTATTTATTTTTACTCATTTCATAATATATTTTATTCAATATTCATAAATTTATATGTATGTATATGTTAATGTATCTGTGTCTGAGAGTATGTATGTATGAGTGTGTATCCTAGTAGTTGCATGTATGTAAATGAGTGTGTAAATTTTGACTTTGTTATTCTAATAAATAAAAAATTATGTTTTCTCCATTTTTTTATTACATTTCTCTGGCAAATATGACATTGAAATCTTATTAAATTTAGAATCAGATTTAAATTAAATTACTTTTATATGCATGTAACAGTAAGTGTAAGTTAGTATGAATGAAAATGTATTTGAGTGTACAAATATGATTTGATTTTTTTTTTTTTTTTTTGTTATTTTAATACTTATTTTGAAAAAGGATTTTTTTATACCTTTATAGTTTGACATTAAAGAGAAAACTATAGTAAAGGAAAACACAAACAAATAATTTAAATAAAAGTAGAAAAATATTTACAATTTACGTTTTCAACATAGATACATACATAGTTATACTTTTACTTATATATAAAAAAATAAATAAAACTTACAACAATATTTGTCATTAGTAAGGAAAGTAACAAAAAAATTGTGTAAGAGAGGAAATAATAATATACATGTTGTACATATATACTACTATATATACGAGCAAGTGTGTATATAAATTTTTATTTCTACAAAATGAAAGTGAAAACTTTTTTTTTTATATATTAACTAAACTTTTTTGTTATTTGTTGTCAAAGCCAACAATTCACCAGCCACCCAACCGACCAAAACAAATACTGGGCAAAATTTATTGCAGAGAGTATAAGAAAATAGTAAAAGAAGTAACTAATAGTACTGAAGAGTCGGTCAATAGCGGCTATGCTGAATCTTATATACCCATAATCAAAGTATGTGTTACCACGATTTACTCATTTATTAGATTTATTTTATTATCTTGGTCAAGGACCGAGCTCTAAAAAGAATGTTTTAAAACATATAGATATTTTCCGAAAAGGTCAATTATGAACCTAATCACATAAAATTCTGAAAAGGGTTGTTTCATTAAAGTAGACTTCTGAAAGGGATCTTATATGAGAAGTAGGGTCAAATATTATCCGATCCTCATAAATTTAAAAGGATCCAAAAAGCCTTAACGGAAATGATTTCTTTTGAGACAAAAAATGAAAATTAACAAGTAAGCTAGTTATATTCGGTTATACCGAATCTTATATACCCACCACCAAATAATGAATTTCGGTTCTTTAAGTCAACTATGAAAAGATCCTCATAAAACTTGATGAAATGATTTAGCTTTTATAAAACTTTTTTGTCTATTGTTCGATATACATATACGCCTTATAAAATTTGGCAAACTAAACTGGTATTTTTGATCCAGTTATATATTATAGCCCGATTCTCATAAAATTTTACATGAAGATGTTGGTTTCTATATAACTGGTTTATGTCGAATTTTAACGCTATAGTGGTATATTTTTTGAGTGAGACTTTATGTAAGGGATAGGGTTAAATATGGACCCATAAAAATAAAATATGTTTATGTCGAATTTCGCTGTTATAGATGTCCCCCGGGCATATTTCCTTGATGATAGATCCGCATCTTGGTGTATTACAATACGGGAGAAAAGAGGTGTTACCAATACCTCTAGCCTGACGGGACTATAAACTGTTGATGTCACTTCACTTCTCACCTAGTCCTTGGTATGATTTGACATGGGGTCTAACCAGAGAACCACATAATCTGGTACTACGGGTGGCGAGTTGCCCACAGGACTGGTCAGTTGGTTGAGGTTCCTTCGGGACCTTCGGGTAGTGGCTATGGTTTAAACCCAAATTCGCGGGAAGAGATTGATGGTTTAAGGGCTGATATATCCTATATTCAATGCGCTGGCTAATTTTCTTTTCAAATGATACAGGTTTGTGTATAAAGCAGCATATGCTGGATTCCTGAACCCGATCGATATTTCTTACCGGTCATGTAGCAGGAAGCCGGTATATGCTGGGGAATTGTCAGGTTAGCGTTCATTAGTTGCCTGTCATTCCGTAGAAAGATCTTTATGATCATGGGAATGGAACTGATGCAAAAATCGGTGAAAGATTGGGAAAGTCTCCATATATTGGAGACTAGTACTGATTTAGTATGCCTATTTACGCTTCGGGGAAGTTTCTCTGTACTGTTGCCATTTCAACAGGATATATTGATTCATGCTACGCGACTATTTGTCGGGGCAATTATTGGGTTCAGTTGACTTTGGAAATTCTTACATCCTATGTTACAGATCGGTTCATGAAGAGGGATCCTGATTTATTATCTTGGATATTTCGGGCTACCATATACGTCTCTAGGTGCTGTTGCCAAACCAACAGAAGCCATCTCAGTAGTGTGGTTGGGCGACATATAAGGTCAGGAATGCACTGATGTGAGTCTTTAGATGATGAGACTGTTTGTGGGGACAATGACATTGTCATGGGATCAATAGGGTGTTTTCACCTGATGTTGGGTCCGCCCCTTCTATCGACTCTAACCAGTGATTGCCTTCTCCTTGTTGGAGTTAGATTGAGTTTGCTCATGACACCTGTCCTTCCACAACGGGGCTACTATGGCAAAAGATAGCTCGACTACTAAAGCAAAGTGCGCGTATAATGGATCCATATACGTAAATTGCCACCGGCGTGTAAGAAACACAGTGGGGCTGTGGTAAGTCGTTATATTTTAGCTCACCCAGTGTATGAAACAGACCACCGCGAAATAAGGCCCTCAGGGCAGGTGTTAACGTAAAGCACTTCGACATTCTTGTTATAGACGATTTTCTTACACTGTTATGACCATTAAAGTCATTTTCACAAGGTGTCCTTATATGACGGGTAGGGTCAATTATGGGTCGATCCTTATAAAAGTTTACAGAGAGATTTAGGTTCTTATAAAACATGTTTATGCCGAATTTCACTGATATGCTACTTTTAGCCAGTTATGAACGTTAAAATCTTTTTCTGATGTAGAAAATATATGGGGGCTAGGCGAAATCGTGGACCAATATTGCCCATTGTCAATGCCAAACAAACTGCATCAACTGAAATTATCTGTGCGAAGTTTCAGATCGATAGCTACATCCGTTTGAAATCTATCGTGTTTTCAATAGACAGACGGACAGACAGACAGACAGACAGACAGACAGACAGATAGATAGACAGACAGACAGATAGATAGACAGAAATACAGAAAGACGGACATTACTAGATCGATATTTTACAAACGGAATGACAAAAACAATATTAAGTCGGCTTTTGAGAGTTACAAACATTGATTTAAATATATAACACCCTTCTACAGTAGTAGTACTGTTGGCTATAAACAAGTTTCCAACTTTTACGCAACTGCACACACATTTGAGGTCAGCAAAGTAGCGGTGGAAGATAAGGAAATCGCATTTCCTGCAAAAAATAAAAACTTGTAAACTTTAAGCAACTTACTACAACACAGTGCAGTAAAATAGCGGTAGTAATAAAAAAATCAGAAAATAATTTTAAACACAAATTCGTGAACTTATACAACCTAAACTACTCCCAAAGGTATTTAAGTAATGAAATTACTTATATTGCTATTATTTTAAACATAACTAACTGCATCTGCTTGTGTATAAGTTGAACAGGAAGGTGAAAACATTTCATATTTATGTACGAAATCACATTTTATTTCTGTATGTTGGAAAAATAACAATTTTGTTTCTTTTTTTTTTTTTTTTTTTTGATGGGGGGAAAATAATATTATTATGACTTTTGACAACTGCTTTTCTTAGTTTTACTCCAGTTCTGTTGTGATTTCTTTTTTACTTAGTTATTTTTTGTAATTATGAAAATTATTCAAACAACAACACTCAAAACAAAAGGACACTTTAGAGCAAAGAAACGACAAAAATATAAACAAATTGCTAGTAAGTAGAAAAATTTATTTTGCGTCTTGCGCTGCGTAAATTTAACAATTTCTTTTGCTAGTGAAAAAAGGAAGTCTTTAAGTATTTAATTAAAACAAAAATTATACACTTTCTATTTCTGTAAAGCCCAGATTCATTGCAAGTTCTGCTGTTATTATTTTTTTTTGTTGAGTTGCTAGTGGGTGTTAATTGGCTGTTGACTGTTGTTAATTAAAAGAAAAGTGGATTTTTTACTTTTCCTTTAGCTTATTACATATTTTATTATTTTACTTCTTTTATATTAAATTTTTAATAATTATTTTTAAGTTTTTCTTTATTTTTGGCTCTGTATATGTTTTTGTTATTTCTTTGTTGCATGTTGTTGACTTTTACAGCAGTTGCTTTAATTAACTTAATAACTGCAATTGTCAACTGTTTCTGCCACCAAACGAAGGCTGCCAGCCTGCCTGCCTGCCATACATATTACGGCATTATTTAGTTCATAACAAAGTAGGCAGCTGTAACGTAAATCCAATATAATTGTATCAATTCTCTTATGCTTATGTTGCACACAACTACAGCTGCTGCAGAATTATGTTGCACGGCTGCCGGTAATTCACCTGCAATAAGGAGAAGTGAAAGAATATAAAATGTGGTTAAAAGATTTTACAAAAGGTAGTTAACAGTTAATTAAACTCTTAGTCATAAAAGTGTAAAATGTTTTAAGAATTTTCACTTATATGTAGTTGTATGTATGTTAAACAAATTTTGTCACATGTCGTGATTAAAGAATTTTGCAAGTTTAAGATTTTTACAAGTACATTAATTAAATTTTGAGGATAATAAAGCTAATTGGTTTGTACAAGATTATGGAGCGAAATAAGTTTGAGCCTCAAACTTTGGGGTGTCTTAATGGTATTTTATTATTAGTTATGTTTGAAAATTCTGCAAGAAATTGTTAGGATTCATAACTTTGTTCCAAAAATATGTACATACTTAAGTTTCTAGAGTTAAGAAGACCTTTCCAGTAAACAAATTATTAAAAACAAAGTAAATTATCATGGAAACCCATGGTAAGATGGTAACTTTAATGTAAATCTGCAAGAAAGCTTTTGGAGAAAAATGGAGGATAAAGCCTGACTTTGTACAGTAGATTGTACAATAGTTTTATGTGGTTATTATTTGGTGAAAAGCACTAAATATAAGCTCAATTTGCAAACTCCTTGATAAAGTTATAAGGATAATGTCGATTCTAATAACCAGATCACTAAGGACAACTTCAACAAAATCTCTTTTTGCGTTGCTAAACTGGATTACAACAGGCTTGTTGGCCAGAAAAAGTTGCACTCACAACGGCATTCAGATTAAATGCAAATAAATGGTCGTATATATCATATGGACATGCAAGTATATATTACCGATAGGATAGAAAACCTACTGTATAATATCGATTATTGCGTCCCAAAATGAAAATGTGGGACTAGAGGAAGGTCCACGAAGACTATATGTTTACACGGATGGCTCTTAACGAGGAGAACGAGTAAAGGGAAGGAATTTTTATTCCACAATTTGGAGTCAGAATTACTTTCAGAATCACCAATGATTGCAGTCCAATTGGGGCCGCGATATCAGCCATTAAATGAACAGCAAACTGGATCTGATACAACGGAATATTGAACAGAGATATCTTAATATTTACTGCTACAATCAAGTCCCTGATATGTGTATACTCTACATAAGGAATGACGGTTAACCATCAATAGAATGGCGAGATAATCAAACATCGCACTCGTATGGGTACGAGTACAAGGGGATTCTACAGGCAACTATATCGAGTTCGCGAAAATAGGTTCACAAATGTATGCAAAACACTCACAGACAATATGTTCTACGAACTCTCCCAGGTAAGATGGAGAAATGAACCAACCTGCAATCCCAGGTAAGTTGGAGAAATGAACCAACTTGCATTCAAACGAAGAAAGCTTGCTAAGAGCGAATGTACTATCTTCTGAAACAAAGACGATCCAAGCTTAGCAGAATGGTAGCTATAAATTTGATAACCATGCTATGAGACTTGGAATACTTTACAATCACTTCTGTAGAAGCTGACAGGATGATGGAGAAGAAGAATCTATTAACCATATCTTATATCACTGTCCGGGATAGTGACATAATATCTGATATATGAGGCATCGAATTTTGGTGGATACTTGAGATTCATTTGAATTTAAACTAGATAATCTATACGCCTTTATCAGTCAGTGAGGTTTATTTGGTGAAACAAATTCTAACACCACTGATTAATAGTTCTTTTGAGTTTAAGGCTCTCTCCTTCTATATATAATCACAACTTCTCTCTTAATCTACCATTAATTATCATAAAGGGACCACGTATGCGTTTTTCGCAGCCTGAAAAACCATTCAACCAAGTGGTTAAAATACTAATATACTAAAGAAGACTGAAACTTTAAGATTCGAAATCTCTATAGATAATTATGAACCGCTGCGCATTTCATACCTAATACCAGATTTCTTTACAAAATCCCTTAAAATATATCCATGGTTTTGTTGTTAAGATATGTAAGTAAATGCTGTTTAAAATGGAACTATATGTTACTGAAATCTTTATAGTTTAAAGCGATTATCAGCATTGTAGCTAGTTAAAGTGCATTACAAAATTGATATACTTGAATACAAAAGCTATTATATAATAGCAAAAAAAATACGAGATAAATCAAAAAAATTACTATAAATTCTCCGAAGTGCACTTAATAATAACAATGTCGCATTTTTATAAAAATATATTCACTATAAATATTGAAAAGTTAACAATATATAAAATAGAAAAAAAACACACATTCATCTACAACTTACCTGTCAACACTTGAACCTGTACAATAGCCGTAAACAGTCGCCCAATCGAACATGAATAATTACCAGTGTCAGTTAATTTTGCATCGGTGATTGTAACTCGACTCGTAAGCCATTTATCGTTCGAACTGCAAAATAATAAATAGAAAAACTGTTTAAACACACATGTATGTACAATGTATATAAATTAATTTTGCCACAAATACTCAAACACAAAGTTGCAGCAGTTGTTAAATATGTAACCCTGCAGTTTCCATATGTGTAATAAAGACTTGTTAAAATAACTAATGACTTAGGCAGGCTCTACGAACTGCGGAGTTATTCAATTAAAATTCAATACATACACTTATACTTATGCACATATTATATCTAAGTTTTGCATATTAGTTTTGTTTATATACCATATTGTATACATGTTGGTAAGTGTGATCCTTAGAGCTGTATGTCATTGTGTCAAAAACAATTAGATAAAAGCAAAGTTATATTTTACAAATGTAATGCCCCTGTTGTAAAATCTACAGTGGCAATCAAGTGTGAAAACACCAAATACATTTACTTTCTTTCTAGATTTCTAGATAATTTATAAGTTGAAAAGGAACTCATTGTTTATTTTAACTTTTCGAACATGTTTTGTTCATTGTTGTTTTCCTGATATATTAACATTTTGGTTTAAATGTAGTTCGTTACAAACTACAATAATAATTTATTGATATTTTCGTTTAGATGTTTGTAGTTGAAATGTAAATATACGACCTTCTTAGCATTACAACTACATACATACTATGGTTTATAGTGTGAAAGACTAATTTGTATTTGTGTACGAAAACAACTCAAAAGGAAATTAATTAGTTTGTTAGCTTTGCAAGGACTTCTCTTAGAATATATGCATGTTAAAGCTGACGCTTGATTTCGAAATATTTAAAATGGTATTAACTAAAAATTTCATTAGAAATGTATAAGTGATTAACATTTGTATATATTTAACTTGACTTTTGTAATGCATTAGTCTCACACACCTTGCACATTTACTATTCAAGCCAATTCAATGGTTATAGATTTTTATTGAAATTTGTCCATGATTTTATCTGGGTCCTATATAAGACGCCTCTCCAAATTCGTATGATGATATATACATTTCTGTGGAGTATAATCGACCTGAATGCCCATATAAAGAAATATACAATATGCAATTATTTTTAATAATTTTAGAATATTCCGAATTTTTTATCATTAACTAATATTTAATTCCTAAGAGTATTTAGTTTCATCAAGAAAAAGTTTTAAAAATTAATTTAACTTGATAAAATTGTCAAACATATTAAATACACTAAAATTTATTTCAATACTGTGATTAATTAAATCAAGAATTTCTATTGAAATAGAAAACACAGACAAATATTTGCAGAGTTGTAAATATATAAATTCTTAAGTAATAATTATATAAATAGTAGTAACACAAATAATAATTGTTAGATTTGAGACTTGAAAAAAATGATTGTCAGTGGTGTCCGGTAGTGTTCTATTCCTATTTGAGGCTAACTAACTAACTAACTAACTAACTAACTAACTAACTAACTAACTAACTAACTAACTAACTAACTAACTAACTAACTAACTAACTAACTAACTAACTAACTAACTAACTAACTAACTAACTAACTAACTAACTAACTAACTAACTAACTAACTAACTAACTAACTAACTAACTAACTAACTAACTAACTAACTAACTAACTAACTAACTAACTAACTAACTAACTAACTAACTAACTAACTAACTAACTAACTAACTAACTAACTAACTAACTAACTAACTAACTAACTAACTAACTAACTAACTAACTAACTAACTAACTAACTAACTAACTAACTAACTAACTAACTAACTAACTAACTAACTAACTAACTAACTAACTAACTAACTAACTAACTAACTAACTACTAACTAACTAACTAACTAACTAACTAACTAACTAACTAACTAACTAACTACTAACTAACTAACTAACTAACTAACTAACTAACTAACTAACTAACTAACTAACTAACTAACTAACTAACTAACTAACTAACTACTAACTAACTAACTAACTAACTAACTAACTAACTAACTAACTAACTAACTAACTAACTAACTAACTAACTAACTAACTAACTAACTAACTAACTAACTAACTAACTAACTACTAACTAACTAACTAACTAACTAACTAACTAACTAACTAACTAACTAACTAACTAACTAACTAACTAACTAACTAACTAACTAACTAACTAACTAACTAACTAACTAACTAACTAACTAACTAACTAACTAACTAACTACTAACTAACTAACTAACTAACTAACTAACTAACTAACTAACTAACTAACTAACTAACTAACTAACTAACTAACTACTAACTAACTAACTAACTAACTAACTAACTAACTAACTAACTAACTAACTAACTAACTAACTAACTAACTAACTAACTAACTAACTAACTAACTAACTAACTAACTAACTAACTAACTAACTAACTAACTAACTAACTAACTAACTAACTAACTAACTAACTGTGACCCATTATGTGTCCATCCGGAAAAAAAAACGAATAATGATTTATATAAATACAAAACATATTCCTGTCAAATTGTAGCCCGATATCTTTACCTTATATTGGGGCAATGACCAATAATAGCCCAATCTGAATCAAATTTCGCAGAATAATTATCGATACACAAAACATAATCAAGCCGAATTCTATCCTGATATTCTTTTATATGTTATGAATTATTTATGAATTATATGGTATTAGCCTTATTTGAGAGGAATGACTAAATATGGAGTTATCTGAAACCAATGATTTATTTGTATGTATATTTCAATTTTAATCGGGATGTTTTTTTTGACAATGAAATATGTGCATTGAAGTAAATTTCGGAAGTGGACCTTATATGAGAGGGAAGTATGACCAGCTATGGACCGATACGAAAAAAATTTAGAAGGGTGATTAACATATAATTTAAACACATTAATAACGACTTTTGTCTCGATATCTTTATTAAGTAATAAAATATGTCATTCCTTTCACTTTGAGAAAGGTACCTAATATGGGAGCTATGACAAATTATGGACCTATCCAGAAAAACATTTTCAGAGCGACTTCTATATACTTATTTATGTGCAATTTTTTGCGATTTCTTTATTTAGGAAATTTAGGTAGAATATGGAGCTTAAAAATAAGGACTTAAATAAGTCATTACAAATAGGTAATTTAATAAGTTAGTTTGTTTTACATAAAAAAAGTATGCGAACCTGAGTTTCATGTTTATTAATCTTTTATGCCATCGCTATAAAAATAAGTACTTATACCCAGCAAAAACTTACATTGAAAAGTTGCTAAAAATGCTAAAATTTGCTTACATTATAGCATTATAAGTCATTATTTAGACACGGGGATGTTATTGGAGGATCGCTTACAAATAGGGAGGCAGTAAGGTAAGTACTTACTACGATCACCTGCAAATAGGTAGTAGTATGTAAGTAGTTTTGTTTTGAGAAAAAGATTGTCTACGTGGATATGCAGTGGGCATATTAGTTTCCACAATAATAATATTTTTTCGTTTTTGTTAAAAAAAAAAAAGTTCGAAAGACTGAAAAGTAAGTATTTATATAATATATTATTTGTAAGTTATTACTAAACTCATTCTAAGTAATGCAGATAGTATGAAGTAGTCATTGAAAAGTAAGTTGTTGAGTAAATACAAGTCATTACCATGTTTTTGCCCCATTATTTGAATTTGATGTACATACATGGGTTGTAGACTTAGTACGAATCATCAATCTTGGATGATACCAATTGTAATTGAAGCTATACCAATTACAATCACTATTGCAGGTATTTAGTATTTGCTGGTTATTTAATCTTTGGCAGATTTTCATTAAATTGTACTTATAGCCTTTAAAATAATTCAGAAACAAGCTTTTTAAATATCAATGATTTAACTCTTTTATACAACAATTCTTGTTATCAAAAGCATGAAGGTGCTGATACATTGTATGTCATTTTATTATATATTTCTTATTTCTCTACTTAGGAATTAGTTTTTCTTTGCTTGCAAGAATCGTAATTTAAACTAATATGGGAATAAATGTTGGTAAATATTACATATTTGGTACACATGCATGCAGATGTCTTAATCAGAAAGTGTTTGCGGTAGGTTTTGTGGTTTTTACTTATGTATTAAATCTAAACATCTATAGGGAAATCTTTGTAACAAATCAAAATTAATAACAAGTTTGTATAAATATATATATATATTTTTGTTAAATGTTATAAATTACTATAGATATTGCTAGCAATTTCTTAACACAGCAAACTACATAGTTGTTTTTAATGTATGTGTAAGAAATTTTTAGCTTAAAGATATACATTCATATAAGAAGAAAGCTCTTAAGACTTGTCGGAATGTATGTAATGCATGACTTATTTATGTATGTATTTCATTTCAGCCTTTACAATTCAACAAACAATTCAATTTCAACTTACCAATAAGTGATAAATGATTATAATTACATACTATACTTACTTTTGTGCATATAAACATATCGCTTACTGGAATGTTGAAGAGTCATAATATTGTTTAACCATTTTATTATAGCTTTCCAGGTGAATTAGAAATATGAATTTACATTCAACAATAAGTCATTATTTAAACTCATTGGAGGCATGTGCTTACCACGTCGGTACTATCGCATACAAATAAGGAGTAAATTAAGTAGTTTTTGTTTAAGAAATAGAAAAAGCATACCAGGATATGCCTATTGTGTCTTCTATTAATTTCGAGAACAATATTTGAAGGTAAAAAATAAGTATTTACATATTACATTATTTGTAAGCCATTACTAGACTCCTTCTAAGTAATACAGACGATATGTAGTGTTCACTGAAAAGTAAGTTGTTGAGTAAGCACAAGTCATTACAATATTTTTGCTGGGGAGGTACAAAATATGGATGAGTATTATTAAAAACTTGAATTTGTTAAGTAGTGACCATTTTGCCTAACGTAAGCGATATATTCCACCACTACATACATAAGTATTACAAATAAGTACATTATATACATATATGAAATAAGTA